ATTACATTGCCCACACGTTGCAGATTTCTGTAAAAGCTTCATCATCAGCATGTTTATTTTTTGCACAAATCTCAGTACATCCAGTGCTGCATTGATTGCATTACAAGTTTGATTGATTTCAAAGTGTCCTCAAACAATGTAATGAATTAAATTAAATTACAATAATCTTATTTTTTAGTAATCTTAATTGGCATATCTAATAAAGCATTGTTTACTTCGCTAAATTTATTTAGAGTTCCAGAGACAACTCCAAGATTGTTAATAAATAAAGAGAAATGTGGACATCAGGTGAGAGTGATTTTCAAATTTCAACAATTTTTTTTACATTTCTGCTGAGTACTTTGGAGAGGCAGTTCAATTATTCTTCTGAAAGCTAAATAACTCAACACCATTCCATTATATGGGGCTGCGTATTACAGTAGAACGACACTAACACTACTACAAAAATATGCCCTGAACCAAGAATTTGAACATAGATCTGTGACAGAGCATCAGTGAGAACAAAAACATCTGGAAATAGTACTTTATTTGTGCTTTTCAAATTTAACCAAAATTGTCATTTTTTTTTCTTCAAATCTTGTATCTGTAAATGTAACTGTTCTAATTTTGATCTCTTTTATGGAACCAGTCTTGTTTTTTTCTTTCCAGGCTGACTTCTTCACGTTGTTAATGGGCGGCAGGAGTGGATTCAAATTCGATAACGAGGACAATTACAGGTTGTGTATGCAAAGATACATGTAGGCTACACCCAATCAAAAGGCTGGAAAACTGTCGCATATCTGGTGGCATGCTGCAATGGCTGGAATGCAGCGCAACGCTTATTTCCCGCCGTAGTAATGCCACGTCCAAGGTTTTGCTGGCTTTAGTATGTAAGGTTAAAAAATTCGGGTCCTTGTAGCTGGTATAGTGGGTATAGTGGGTATAAGTGAGTGAATTCTGAATCAAATTTTCTGCGAGTCCAACTCTCGGTGCATTCTCGTCCCCAGAGACCGCGCTCCTTTTGGTCAGCACGAAGAATCGCGACCTCCGGCCTAGTCCAACACCGAAAGCCCGCGATTCACGGACTTTCTGTCGCTCTGCGCATGCTCAGGGTCAAGTCTGACAAATCTGATTGGCTGAGAACACGAAACAATTACTCTGCACATGCTCAGAAAATTGGACTTCCCCAGAGGTCGCGATTCTTGGTGCTCACCAAAAGGAGCGCAGCCTCTGGGGACAAGAATACTCCCGGTGGTGTTAAAATATCTTTAATCTTCTTTAAGTTAGTGTCAAGGAACCATCATGTAAAAATGAGTAAGAGTGAGAAATGGTTCCACTCATTGACAACTAAGGTCTTCCGGCCGCGCTCTTGGCAGCTCCCATTTTTTTCCCGCCATAAACATGCCGCACCCGGC